GCTCCAGCAGGGACGTCCCCACCTAGCTGGGTCGGCCGTGGGCCCCCTGTGGGGAGGATGTCCCCCAGGTCTAAGGGCCCTTTCGTGGATCTCAGCTGCTTGGCCAGAGAGGGGATGTCTGGGTCCCTGGGGCGTTGCCATGGTGCAGGGGCCACTTTTGGTCCTCCCTTCATGTCCCATCTATTGCTGCTGGGCAAGGCCTCCATGGGGCAGGCAGGCATGGTTTTTCTCTTGTGCAGCGGGGATCCCTCTGCCTCTGGGTTTGCAGCGTCAGGATGGAAAGGGTCAACTGTGGGTGCCAGTGGTGGGGCCTGGTGTGGCTGTGGCCCCTGCAGTGGCTTCAGCACAGCTTGCTTGCCCTCAGGCACAGCATGCTGGGAGGAGGCCACAGCCACCCAGGGGCCAGAGATGATCCGCTGGGTCTTGGCGATCATCTGGAACACCTGCATATGCTCTTGACTCACCAGATACTCCTGCAACTTCAGGAACAGCTGCCCGGAGAGCAGCGTGGCATCAGATGACAGCCAGCTCCGCTTCAGGGTCTCCTGGAGGCCGGGCTCCTCCCTGTGCTGCCGTGAGCAGGAGTCGCTGTCAGAATCGCTCTTCTTGGAAGTCCTGGAGTCCCCTTCCTCACCGGCATATCCAGGGCCGCCTGAGGCCTCCCCAGGTGCCTTCAGGAGTGCGGGGGTGGGGGTGGGGGAGTGGCAGTGCGTCTTTCAGACTGCGGCCACCGGTGGGCAAGGGCGCCCCCGTCAGGGAGGTGCTGCTGGGCCTGGGCCCAGACTCAGAGCCCTCCTGAGGGGACACTGAAGTGGGATTCTGGATGACAAACACATCGTCCCCTTCACTCTCCGGGCAGCCTGGCAGGTTCTGGAGCCACTGGAAATTGTGGTTTGAAGTCTGGGCGCTGGCAGGCGCTGCCTGGCCTTGGAACAGAGGCAGACCACCTGGCAGGGTCCCACCCTCCTGCCCGCTCTCCAGGGTGGGCGGTAGCTGGGGCGGACGCTCCAACTCAGCTGTGTCAGGACCACCATCCTCTGCTACACTGGAGTGAGTGGCTGTGAACCAAGGGGCGGGCTCCTTCCATAGCGGGTGACACTCCTCAGGAACATCAGTGCCCAGGGTCCCTGGGGCCACTGGGTGCAGGGGTAGGGCCCCAGTGAGGGTGGGCAGGGACAGGCTGTGTTTTTCCCTTCCCCATCATCTGAGGGCCCGGCCAGGACTGGGCCAGGAGAAGAGATCTCCTGGTAGACCATGCTGCTCACAGCAGAGCACAGGGGGTCTTGGTTGGGCAAAAGGGAGCCTGGGGACCTGGCTTCTGGAGGCACCAGGGACCACAGGCCATCCGCAGCATGCTGGCCGGCAACCTCGTGGGCAGGAGAGGACTCCCCAAAGGCTTCTTGCTCGGGGGGGGGCCTCCTTCAGGATGCACAAGACATGCTCAACCTCGTAGTGCCATTGCAGGGAGCAGTCATCACAGCAACTCATGCTGCAGCCCTGCTCAATGCACACAAAGGGCTTGGTCTTCTGTTGGGGGAGCATGTGCCCAGTCCTGCGGTCACACACGAGCAGGGAGTCAGAGGGCACTGGGGCTCAGCCTCTCACTGCAGGGTCCCGAGCCTGACTCCCCCCACAGTGCTCCCAGGGGGCAGTGGAGCTCAGAACCACGGTTCAGAACCTGCACTCAGCCCCCAGCTACAGTCAAAGCACCTGGAAGGGGTGCACCCATCCCTCACCATTAAGCAAACCCCTTATCTGAGAGAAAAATCAACAGAAACCAGGACAGAGTTCCCCAGAATGGGTTCCCAAGGAACACCAGCCCTCCACAGTGGCTCCCCAAGGATGTGGGCTCCACTGGCAAGTCAGTCCTGACAGAGCACCATGTGCTTCTTGGAGGTTCAGGGGAGCAAATGTAAAAGCCAAATAGCAGGTAGAGAGATAGAGGGACATCTGTTTAACCTGCCATGTCTCTGAAACATAGTTGCCCACAGAACTGTTTTCTGAAATAGCTCCTCTTAGCGCCCACAAGAACCAAGGTTTGCAGAATACATTTGAGGAAAAGCTCATTGGGGAGGATCCTGCCTTTAACCAAAGAGTCTTTCCCCTACCATAGAATTCCTATAAGGAGACAGCTGCATGAAACCCCCCAAAGGAAAAAATACCATTTACAGATGCCCAGTCAGAACTTTCTAGAAAACAGCTAAATGTGCCTCCTATAATATAAATGAATACAAATATGCACTATGCTTATGTAATTCTTATATCTACATTAATAACATACACAGATGAGTAAATCACGCTCCGCATTTCCAACAGCCCTACTCTGGACAGTCCTAATAATGCGGCATATGGGGCGTGTCTGATAAATAACAGAGCCCTTCCCCAAAGGGTGGCCCTGGCCTCCATTGGAGGAGAGTGGCAGAGACCCAATCTCCAGCTCCCAAGTTAAGTGGTCTGTGACATAAGCAAATTGCTGCCTTTCCCTGGGGGCGGGGGGTGCTTGGCGAGAGGAAGAGTCGGAAGAGGGGGTCAGTCAAAGCCCCGTGGGAAGGCCAGGAGCATATAAAACGCAATGGACTGCCGTCTTCCACTTGTCAGTCTCTTGGTTTGAGGAGGTCTGTCTGTCCTTCCTCACTAGCAAGAAAAGCTTATCATTTAAGAGACATTAGGAACAAAAGGAATTCTGCTCCAGATTCCTAATGGGCTTTCTTTTAAAACCAAGAGTTAAAAAAAAAAAAAAATCAGGAGTTAAAAGAGACAAAGAAGAGATAATGCTCCGTTGCCACGTTCTAGACACAGGTATTTTGGTATCTCTCATGCCCTGTGGAGTCCTGGTACATGTTCCTCATATAAACATGGGCTGGTTCTCCTCAGGCTCCTACCACTGTCTCCAAATATTTCTCTATAAAGGTAACCTGATTCCCTCCATGACAAAATTGCCTCGGGAGGTCCCATCTGCAAATCAAGGCAGTGACTTTCTCACTGCTGTGACTTTGGGAACTGGGAAGGGTGACCTGCTCAGGGCGGTGTCAGGCCTGTCCCCAGACACGGAGTCCACGTCTAAGCACGGGTCACAGGGACCCAACAGGGACACGGTGTGTCGGGCTCATCTGGGAGGCGATGAGAAAGAACTAGGAACACGTCCCCTCCCCGCAGGCCCCTGCACAGATGTTGGTGACCAGACTCCTACATACAGTTGGTTGTGGCTCTTCAAGGCCTTGCTGCAGATTCCACAAACATGTGTCCGTTCCTGCTGTGTGTCAGGTAGTGCTTGCTCCGGGAGCTGGCGCTGCTCAACACCTTCCCGGGAGGCTGCAGTCCAGAAGCGGGCTCTCAGGTGAAGTGGGGTGCCACTTTCCTTTCCTTGGGCACCCGGAGGTGGCCCTGCCTCCTTCGTCAGCCTCTCTAGGCACCTGAAGCTTGCCCAGCCTCAGGTCTAAAGAAACAGAAGGAGAAAGCCCAGGTTAGAGACACCTGGGGACATGGAAGAGCTGAGCTGAAGTGCTCCCCGCCTCTTAGAACCGCAGTAGGCTTGGGAAGGGAGGCCCGGGAACCCTTTCTGCACCTCCAGCACTTTAACTCGCAGAGAAAACAAGGCTTAGACTGAAGAGTGGGGAGAGAAAGGACCCTGGTCTGGCCACGCTGCAGGACAGTGTCCAGTCAGTGGCCCAACTGTGGTCAGTTGTGGCCTGGAAGGATTCTAAGAACCAGGTTGCCGTGGCGGCAGGGGCCTTATGACATCATGCCTGTCTCAGAATGGCAAGCCAGAAACATGTAATCCAAAACTTACAGAAGTATAAATCCTTTCTCCCAGCCACTTTTACCTTTGCGTTTTCTGGGGTTTTGTTTTTTATTTTTTATTTTTTTAACCTTTGTGTTTTTAAAGGAAATAATGTAGACTTATATGAGAAGTTAACTGCAGGGGAATTACCCACAGTGTTGCCTTTCCTGTTAGAAACAGCCTGCTATCTGATCAGGGAGCATGTAGGTGACACCGTTATGGTTTAAATGGTCTAGGACATAAGCATTTAAGGTAAAACTGTGGAAAACTATCTGATAACCTGAAAGGATATTCATGCCTTAATACTGAGAAAAGAACAGCCTGTTACAAAACAAAATTATTCTAGTCTTTAAAAAAGAAAAATAAATTTTAATAGAGAACAGAGAGAACAGAATAGACTGATGGGATTATGGGCCAATTTTATTTTCTTCTTCTGTACTGGAATATGTTTAAAAGCTTTCTGTGTCCCTTGGTAAAGTGATAAAAGTTATTTTAACAAGTCATGTCACCTGAGGACCAGCAGAAGGGACTGGGGGTGTGCAGGTGGCAGAGGGGAGGTCTTCAAATATCCTGAGGGCCAGCTTGGGAAGGAAGGAGCAGATTGCTTCTGTCTTGCAGAGGAACGGCTCTCTACAGAAGCTCTATCTGGAACAGAGACCACTTGGGGACCAGGAAGCAAGGGAAACTGACCTCAAATCTCCAGAACCTAAGGCCCTGGGTGCCAGGACTCTGCAGGCTCCCTGCTGGGCTCAAAGACCCTCAGCAACTGTCCCCAGAGTGCATGAACCATGGGAGATTTTTCTACCCCTCAGACTGGACTTCCAGGTGGATCACACTGCCTCATGAGAGGGCAAGTTCAGAAATCACCCTTTATCTGGGACTCGGCAGAGGTGGAGGCCAAGAATCCAACAGGCCAGGTTGTGGGGGGCGGAGGGGGCATAGCTTTAGGAGCCAGCAACCCAGC